TTTCTCTCTCTACCCCTTCTACTGTACATCCTTTCTTCCATTTGTATTATCTTGTCTTACCCCTCCTTTCCTCTTATATGACATTTTGTATAACCTCCAGGGATGTTTTAAAAACTGAAAGTGTAGGGGCTGGGGATGTGGCTCAAGCGGTAGCGCGCTCGCCTGGCATGTGTGGGGCACTGGGTTCGATCCTCAGCACCACATAAAAATAAAATAAAGATGTTGTGTCCACTTAAAACTAAAAAATAAATATTTAAAAATTCTCCTCTCTCTCTCTTAAAAAAAAAAAAAAAACAACAAACAAACCTGAAAGTGTAACCTAAGGAGTGTGTTCAGGAAATATTTATTATTATATTTCTCAGATTGGTTGTCTCATGACAACCTGAGAATTTGAGCACCTCAAGCTACTGTCTTCCTGGTGAAGAAGAAGAGAAAGGGGAGGGAGTGTGTTGCTGGCATGATCTTGCTGGGACTTGTCAGGGAGTGCATGACTCTGGGGATAGACTGGACTCTCAGGTATCCTTGGACTTCCTGGTTACCCCAGCCTAGGGCAGGCAAGTGTTGCAGTTTGACTACAACTGAGCCATCTCCTGAGACATGTGACTTGTGTTAAAACTGGCAAGGCCCCAGGAAAGTCAGGATGATGACTTGTTGACCTACAGTCCTAACTGCAGGTTTTGTCACTGGTTCTTGGTCAGGGTGTGCCATGGAGGTCATTTGGGAACTTGGAACAGGGCTTTCCATTCCTGGTGTGTATTCAGCAAGAATAGTTAATGGATCTCCATTTAACCAGCAAGCAGAGACTAATCTGGTCTTGGGATCAAGCTCAACCCAGGCTGAGCAAGCTCACAGGTTAATTGAGTTTCCTAGTTTATGGCTGCTTGGGGGACTGGTGACTGCCTACTGGGGATAGAGGTGGGGGAAGTGGTTAGATTTGGATCCTGGCTGTGTTCACTTATGTTTGAAACTCTCCGGCTAGGGTGATTTTTATCTTTTTTTCTTCCCCAGGAATTAATCAGTGGGCCACAAAATACCAAGGACATGGAGCTAGTTTATTGCTTTCCACTGGGGACATAGGCAAGTGGAGGAGGGGAGAAGGARCGGGTTTTCTCAAACTCAGTTGTGGTGAGGGGGACTTTTAGCTGTTAGGAGGAAGAGCCCTCCTTGTTGACAGTAGACACTGGTAGTGGGGGCCTTGGTGATTACTCACATGGGCAGGGATGATAAAGGGGGACTGATTCTCCCAGTTTTAGCACTGAGAGACTTGGGAAACCCTGCAGTCCTGGGAAAACCAGGACAGTTGATTACCCTTGTGAAGGGACAAGTCCTAAGAGTAGGGACATTACGTGTGCACTTGTAGGTCATGAGAGTCAGAGCTGAGGGCCCAGAGCTGTTTTGGGAGAAAGTCAGGGTCCAGAATCTAAATCATTTAAAGACTTTCATGGTGCCCAGAGTAAAGAGCAAATGATCTGCAGACTGTGTTTTTCTGGGCAAACATTGTGGATGGGAACAGCTGGAGTCTGGCTGTTCTCAGTCACTCTGAGAGCAAGGGCCTGGGACGAGGGGATTGTTTTAGTGTGAGTGGATGCTGGGGGTAGGAGGAGGGGTCCACAAACTAAGTAGCCATCAAATTATTCTGCTCCGTATTTTTTTTTCTAAATTTCTTTTTAGGAATTATATATGTTCCTCTGATGGGGGTAGGCCAGGGGAACAGAGCTAGATGGAGTAGGACTTTGGCCTTCATCCTTATTTTGATCCAGAGAGCAGACTTCAGCAGCTGTAGGGAAATCCTAGGGAAGCTTGACTGAGGCTGGCAGTCTGAGCCTGTTCCAGCCAGTCTTCCCTGACTGCTCGGAAAAACACATGCACATACACCTGAGCAAGAACTGCTTCTGCCTTGCAGGATAGGGTGTAAATATTCATGTGTCTTGTGACCTTTTGAAAGAAAACTCGCTCTCTAAGAATGTATCCAGAGGTAGACTTCACATTTTATCTGCTAGATAGGAGGATAAATATGCCTGAGTCCTGAGGGATTTGGGGGTGAGTCTCTTATTCCAGTAGATATAAGCTCCATGACAGTAGGATCTGGTTTGTTTTGTTTACCATGGAACTTTAGAGCCTAGACCAGTGCACAACACACGGAGGCTCAGCAGCTAAGTAGTGAGAGAGCTAGCGAGCTGCTCAAGTCCTTTCTGAATGCATAGGGCGATAGTTCTCACACTTGGCTGTCCGTTAAAAGCTCCTGGAGAGCTTTAGCAACATCTCAATGCCCAGGCCATACCCAATGCCTATAAGTTGGAATCTTTGGAAGTGACATCTATACATGAGTATTAAACTCCAGTGTTGCAGTTTGACTACAACTGAGGAATCTCCTGGGACGTGTGACTTGTGCTAAAACTGGCAAGGTGCCAGGAAAGTCAGGATGATTTGTTGACTCAGTCTTAACTCCAAGATTTATCTGAGAACAAGTGCCATACCGTGTGTGTGTCACATGAGGCTATATTACTTTAAGCATGATTCATGAACCAGTAGCTACAAGCATTACTTGGGTTTTTGTTAGAAATATGAGTTCTCAGGTCCCACTCTAGACCTACTGAGTCAGAATCTGATCCGAATAAGATCTCACTGATTGATATCACCATGTGTCTGCAATGTGTCTTGGGGATAGAGAATCCCCTGGTGCTTTGGGTCCATGAAATGAAGAGAGCAGTAGGAAATAATGCTGTAAAGAAAGCTGGGAAGTTTGGACCTAATAGGCAGTGTCGAGCCATTAATAGATCTTGAGCTTGGGAACATGATTGGAATAGTCCCTGCCAGTGGGATATCGTGTCTTAGAATGTCACCTTCTCTTTTAGGTGCTGCTCCCAGCAGCCAGCTTGCTGCAGCTCATGGATGTTCGGCAGAACTGCTGTGACTTCCTGCAGTCTCAGTTGCATCCCACCAATTGCCTGGGCATCCGTGCATTTGCAGATGTGCACACCTGCACCGACCTTCTGCAGCAGGCCAATGCCTATGCAGGTAACCGGGAACTGGAACACTGCACCTCCTCTGTGGGCTTGTGGATTTAATCTCCTGGCCTGCCGTGGACTCCTCAAAGATTATGAGAAGTGGTCTCTGCTGTGAAGCAGCTCTGATTTAGTTAGGAGACAAAGCACATGTGGGAAGGTAATTAGCAATAGGTGCATTTAGCTCATTGCCAAGTAGAATATGATTAATTGCTAGATGGGTGGTATAGTAGAGGAAGGAGATCTGAGAAGTCTTTGGGGCACAATAAATTGAACTAAGTGTTGAAAGAGATCTTTTGTTGTTATTGAAGACGATTTTAATTTTGGTCATGATTTTAATTTTACAGCATGTTCTGTAAACATGAAGTTAAAAGTCAGATACTGTTTGTTGCAAGCCTTCTATTGATAAACACATCCCCTGCTCTTCCTTTCCACACTGTCTTGCTTTCTAGGCTACTCACTTTTAGTCCTAACAACTAAAATGCAGGTTCTGACTCAGCTTAAAACCTGCTTCATCTGCTATCTACCTCCATTGATCTAAGCAGTTTGTTCCTACATTAATTTTTGGTTTGTTGACTTTAGAAATTATGTGTTGACTTCTGCACAAAAATCCCACTGGGCTTTCTAAACCTTATCCTTGTCCACACACTCACCTGCTCTTCATTATTTGACAGTCACTCTCACAAATGAACCAAGTCATGTGTTAATTTTTAATCAGAAAATTCTTTATTTTCCTTCAAATTAGACAGAAAGCTAGTAATTGTGTTTTTCTTTTGCATATCAGTGCTACAACCTCTATCTAGTTTTTGTCAAATACAACTGAACAATCCTCAATCTGATAATGTGTTGATTCCATTTTAGTTTTCTGGGAGACATTCTCCCTGCTAGAGCATTCCGTTATTTTAATGGGACCCTGGAGGGAATAGAGATGAACTGAAAATTCAGCCCACCATGTTTAGCAGGACAGAAATCTTCATTACCATTTTTTTTTTTTTTTTTTTTTAGTTAAAGGACAGATCATAAGGGACCTGGGAAACAGGTCCCCACATTTTTTTTGATAGATTCACTTTTGGCTGCCTCCTGTCCTTGCAATAAAAAGCTTCATTTTACCCACTCCCCAGACAAACTCTGTTCTCTGCCTCCTGTCCAGCAGTGTGTGGCAAGGAGCTGAGGACCAGCTGGATGCCCACCTGTAGCTCCCTGTGGTTCATGAGGTAATTAGTGTGTGCTGTGTCTCTCGGCATCCTTTTGTTTTCTCACCAAACCCCTGACTCCAGGAGACTGCACAGATTCTCATTTTGCCCTGACTCTGTGAGGGCACAGATAGGACTGGTTGTTAAAATGGGCTTGGTGGTTATGACATTTGTAAGGACATTCCCTAGTAGCCTCACTTCTGAATCCTGTTGCCTCTTGCCAGTCTGAACCTCGACTCTCCTGTTTCTCTGCTGTCCCTCTTGTGCTGTCCTTTCCCTTGCATTTCCCCACCAGACTTCTGCCTTTTCTTAGGTTCCCCTTTCTCTTCAGAGTGATGGTTCCCCAGCCCAACCTCTGCAGAGGCCACTTTCTTGATGGATGTGCTCTGGCTTTTCTCCAGCAGGACTTGAGAGCTTGGCCACGGCTGTTTGCTTGTGTGGTGGCAAAGAAGGAGTGCTCAGGTGCCAGGAATTCTGTGGCTCCTCCTTTGTCTCTCTCACCAGCCCTTTCCTTCTGCCCAGTGTGTGCATGGATCCGTGCACATGCAGCACATGTTCCATCCTTCTGTAGTTGGCTGATAGGATTGTCTGAGGTTTAGGGAATGTGATGAACTCTCACTTTTAACAAAGGCTCCAAGGCTCATGTGGCTTGGCTTTTCCCCTCTTTCAACATCTATATTCTCCCTTTGCCCTTTTTTCTATCTGGTGGTGCAAAAGCATCTGTGGGAGAGAGGGGAGGATGCAGTTARGACSATGTYCACCRTCATTGTGTTTCCTGGTGCTGATRCTGTCAYAGTGTTTGGKTTCRGGCAGCAYTGAGGRTGCATGTRYAWGTGCAGATACCCCGATGRATTCTCTTTAG